CGTCTCGGACAAAAGGGCAGTCGACTCGGCTCCCGGATTTCCGAAAACTCCGCAAAAGGATTACGTGACAATACGGCGTTAATCAAATTTCCTCGTGACGCTGTAAACCGAACAATTAACGCGTCGTGTATTCGCGTCTGTACTCTACATTTTCGTTAATTCGACTTGAAGAAACGAGTTCAAGTAACGCGAATCCAGTTTCAATTTATTTACATTTTATGAAGCGTGGTTTTATGAAATTCTGAACTTTTGTACTTTTTGTGGAATTTCTTTTTAATCAAAGTTCTAAACTTTTGCTTAAAAACATATAGAGACTCCAAATTATGTCCCTTATTTGCAAAAGTTTGAAACAACTTTGCACAGGCTGCAACATCCTGAAATTTTGTCAAGCTTAAAAACATTGTTTTCCTATAATTAACATTTCAAATACGCGCATGCATTCGGAATATTTTAATGGCTAACGAATGTAAAGGGATACCACAAATTTGAACTCACGCAGATGAGCCACCGAAATTAGTGCGTCCAATTGGCGAGTGGAGTCAATTAGATTCGTTGACCGGAGACTCAATTCGTTTCGCTGTTTCGAAGCTGAGGGATCGCGCTAATTGCAAGTCTTAACGAGCGTCCGGCTGTCCACCTGCCGCCTCCATTTCCGGGATGCTGTGCAGACGTCGCGCATTTTCTCTCTCGGAGGTGTCTTAGAAAATCAGGTTAGGCATGCTAGGAATCCCTTTCGCTTTTCCCCGAGCGCGAATCGTTCAGTTGGTCAGAGAAGTTTCGCGGAAATTTGCCCTGAATTCCGCGACTTGCGACCATCATTCGTGCTTGTGTTTGAAACTCAAGTTAACACGCGAATTAAATTTTCTTCATTCAATTAACCCTGCGTCCTTTATTATCGCGCTGATTAATCAGATCAACTACACGTGAAAAAGCTAAGGATAGGATAATGTTTAGAAAGATATGATTGTTGTTATTTTTCTTTCAAAGTTGCAAAATTTTTTATATCTTTATTATACTTTTTCGGGAGTTTTTCAACATAATTGCGATGAAACATCGACGCACATGGCCCGCGACAAGAGAAGCTTGTCTATGCGTAGCAGATAAGCGCGACGGCTGTTTAGCCATTAGGTGGGAAAAAGTCCGGAAGACACGAGCCGTCTAAAAATAAACGGTCCGTTCGCGTTGTTCGTTACGACTTCAGAATCGCGATGTTTCCAGAAGACGCGTAATACGTACAGATGTTTTTTTTCCCTACTTTTTTTTCTACTTTCACCGGATATTGCGTGTTTGTGTCAGTCCGTTGAATCTTCGCGATTCTTCTGCCTTTGTTAATTAATTTATCGATTTTACGAGAAATCATAAGAATGGAAGAAAATAAATTTTGAGATTCTCAGATTTTTTAATAACGCTATTTAGTTTTCGAGCGTCTTTAACGTTTTCACACGACGTCCCTTTTCGGCTACTGGCAACGATAAAGCCAATGTGTGTTTATTGAACTTTATGATATTGGAAAGAGAGAAAGGAGTGCATGAAGAGAAGGAGAGGTCGAATCTCCTATGGTGGCACTTCTTTCCTGTTGTTCGTTTTCTCCCTCGAGAACCGCAGAAGCGAAGACACTACCATAAGAGGACATCTTTAGCCATCTCTGGACCCTACGACCTCTCCCTCTCTCTTTCTCTCTCCTTTCTCTCTTCCTTCTCGTTCTGAGATCGCGTTGCGGGCCCCAGGAGTATTCTGAAGAGGGAACCGTCTTCGCGTGGGTACTTGTCGCTTGTGAATATTACAATGTAATTGCGTTAGCAATCGAAATTTATTAACTCGATGAATCATCGTTCTTTCTTAGATTATACGCCTTCAATTAAGGCGAAATTTTTCGATATTTCAAATATAAGTAATAGCTTACCGTTTTTCAATATTATAATTGATGTCAAAAATTGTTGAGGTGAAAATATGAAAATTTGTTTGTAATTTTGCTAATTTAGTGATTTTGAACTTAACTCTTTGAAAATTGATGATTGAATCAAGCTGTGTATATTTCTGCCTATTAATTATATTATAAACTGCGTTATTCAGGATACGTCGTATACATTAAAACTTGTTTATGGTTTAACTGAAGTAAAAGTAAGGAAAGAATGAAATTGCGAAGCAAACTGGAATGAAACTCCTTGAAGTCGATTGAAGAAATGCGCGGCACGGGATCGCCATAAAGCGCGACCCGTACACACAATTCTTCATCGAGACGAAGCTTCTTCCGATGGCGATTTCGTGACAAGGGGACAGCGGGATACATTAAAAAGCGCCGTCGCCATTTACGGCTGTCATCTCGCCAGGATAACTCGAAACCGCGCGCGATGAACGTCGCCTTTTGCGGCTCGTCGCGGCTCCTTCTGAAGATATTCTTTTTCAAACCTAATGGATCGTGATAAGGATTTGCATTTCGATACCTCTGTCGCTTAAAAAACGACGGTCTGAATCAGCCTCCGATAACGTGACGCATTCCAATTAAATTGTCGAAGGAAGAAATATTTAAAGAAAAATAATGTACAAGAAATTATTGGATATTATAGCTAATATAATTAATATTATGATTTATATCACTGACTACATTGGTGAAATATGAGCATTTTTCTAATTTATTTCAATATAAAATACAGTGTTGCAATTGAGATACATTCTCATTGCAGAAATATAAATACTTATATGCCTATTTCTTTATCTCATTCATATTTTACATACGCCTCCATCGTTATCATCATTTCTTTCATTCTCATAGCGCAATATACTCCAAATTATTGGTTTGATTTTCATATTTTAACATTCTGTTGCTAATTACTTTATGACTACAGTTTTCTTAGATTTAAACATTTCAATATTTATATTAAAATAGTCACATATTTAATAAATTTGCTACAATTTGCTGTGTTTTTATTGTTCTTAAGTAAAAAGCATTAATTCGTTTCAGTAACATAGAAAATATTTAGATAAATAAAAAAGTAGGTAACAAATATAAATTTTTGTAATAAAATACATTGATCGCAAAAATTGGCCGGAAAGTTCAATTAATTCCGATTACTGTTTTAAAGTAAGAATAAATCGTTATAATTCTGCTTATTCAACTTGATAATGAAACGTATCTTTTTTTCAATTTTAGGAAGCGTTATGAATATTTGTGTAACGTAATTAAATAATACATGAGTTTATATATAT